AGCAGCTTTCTCAGAGTGGGCCCACGGACCACTTTGAGAAACATTGTTTTAAAGGTAGGTTTCAAAGAGAAATCTCACAGGATACGGTGGTATCCCAGAAAAATTCCACCGTGTCCAGGGAGCGCATTTGCTCTTCTGTGCTTTTTTCTTTTCTTTTCTTTCTTTTCAAAAGAGCAAACCCGCTCTTTTGGAAGCCCCTGTATTCCTCATTTTACGAAGAAGAAGGGGGCTTTTGAGAGAGGTGTATGAGACAGTCTAGACAGGCCAAATGTCAGAAAAACTCTTCCAACAAAAGTATCCGAAAAAGCTACGCAAAATGCAGAGTACATTTTGCGTCACTTTTTTTCCAACAAATAGATGTCGTCTAGATGTACCCTAGATAGAATAAAGTGTCAGGAGGTTCCTCCCTGCATGTGGAGTGGCCTGGGAAAAAGCAGGAAGGTGATTCTGTGACAAGCGGATAAGTGAATGCTCAAAGGTGCTACTGGCAGAGTGAAGATTAGGGTCTGGAACATAATAAGAAACTAGATTTCAAAAGTAAGATGTCACTCCTTTAGTTGAGAAGGAGACTCAAGTGAGAAAGGGAAATGTCATCAAAATCACTATGAAAATATTATTTTAAATAGGTACGAAAGGGGAAGATTGGAGGCATTAGTGCCACACAGACAAGATTACAATAATTCATATCTGATGTCTTGGATAAAGGAGACAATGTATCCTTTACCATTTTCCTATTTATTTATGTATATTTCTTTAGGTTCTTATAACAGCATTTGTGGATTGTAAATTTCTTTATACCAGTGCATTATGCAGTCATGTTCCGGTATCCTTTTGATGATTGATATATGGGCTTTTTATTTTATTTCTCCAGAACTAAAGCTTGGAACATTCATTCATAATATGAAGATGCTGCTGACTTTGTTCCTCTTTCTTATTGGGAGTCAAACTTCAGTAACTCAAACACCTGGTATTTCCATATCCTTTGTGCTATATTACATGATTTTAAAAAAATAACACTATTTTCCCAATAAAAATGGAGGCAAGCCCTCTAAGTCAGGGTCTGTATACCACATGAGACGTTGTGTAGTAGAGTGAAATTGTGTTTGGCTAATGGAGATGGACATGGATTCGCATATTTGGTATGTCTAGACTACATTGCTCCGTCAACGGAGCCGTGTAGATGAGTTTACTAGACATAGGAAAATGAAGCAGCAATTTAAATAATCACCACTTCATTTACATAAAATTGGCTGCCGTGCTGTGCCTACCAGCTGTTTGGTGGCACAGCGTGGCAGTCTGGATGCTCTGTGGTTGACAATGGAAGCCTTTGTCGACCGCTCCGGTAATCCGCATTTCACGAGACATAATGGAGAGGTCGACAGAGGCTTCCGTTGTCAACCGTGGGGCATCCAGACTGCCCTGCTGTGCCGCCAAACTACTGATCGGCATAGCACAGCAGCCATTTTGATGTAAATGAAGCGGCAATTATTTAAATTGCCACTTCATTTTCCTATGTCTAGTAAACTCATCTATATGGCTCCGTCGAAGGATCCATGTAGTCTAGACACCCACTGGGATGATCAGTGCTATATCAGAAACTTTGACCGACTTCTGTAGATTAGAGCCAGATTCAGGGGTGAAAATACAGGTAGTATATAAATGAAGTCCACACATATAATTAAATTATTTTCAAGTGGGTAACGAGGATTAAACTACTCTGTATGTGAAGAAGAATCCTGCACTCTACTCATGTGAGTTCTATTTGGCTCACTGGGATTCTACATGTACAATCTGCAGACTAGGGTCCTTGGTATAAATCCCAGGTACAAGAGTCAAATTGTGATATTTCATGTGATGTGAGTTAGGGTAGAATTCGGTCCTGGATGGGGGACAGATCAATATGATTGCTAGGGTAGCTGTGTTGCACAGTTTAGAAAATTTGCAAATAAGAAAGTAGTTCAGTGCAGCCCACTGCAGCACGATGATTTTTTGATTAAAATGGAGGGTTTTCAACTTCTATTGACTTCAGTGTAGGTTAAGGATGAAAAACAACAGGGTGGGGGCAATCGGCACTTGTGACAGGCGGGAAACTAAGCACAGAGGAGTCAGGACAGAAAGAAAAAGCAACTTTTGCCACTTAGTCACATACAACAGAATGAGACTCTGAAGAGGGATTCTATGCTTAGTATTGCAGAGATAAAGGGTAAGAAGTATGCAATACCATTGAATTTTCTGACTTTTGCAGCCTCTACATCTGCAGATATTGTCCTATTGGTTGACAGCTCTAGTAGCCTGGGAGACAAGACGTTCCCCTCTGTGAAGGCTTTTATTAGCAAAACGATCGGTCTTCTAACAGCGACTCCTACTCAATACCGTATTGCACTTGCCCAATATAGTGATGATTTGCACCTTGAATTTCAGCTGGACACCCATAAAACTAAGAATGCAATGCTGAACCATGTCAAAAAGAACTTTGTATTCAAGGGTGGGTCTGTAAGAACAGGCAATGCCCTCCAAAAAGTTCACAGTGCCTATTTTAAAGGACCAATTAGCAGAAGAGACAAAAACAGAATTTTAGTAGTTCTGACTTCAGGAAAATCCGAGGATGATGTGGAAAAGCCTGCCAATGATTTGAAAAGTGATGGGGTAAAAATTATAGCCCTGGGGATGCCTGATACTGATCTTAAAGAACTGCAGTCAATGGCTACACCTCGCTTTTCGCAAAAGTTTCGCACATTGAGGGATCTTAGTATGTTTCCTCAAAACATGACCAAGATAATTGAGAGTGTTATTCAACCACCCCCAGATGTTATTCAACCATTCCCAGATACTAAGAAAGGAGAAGGTAAGAAATGCAATGCTATGAATTGTAATCATAAAGACTGGGAGAAATAATTCAGTGCTAGAAAGAAAGACACCTTGAACATTTTGGGCTAAACTTACAAAATATTAAATGGCATGCACATTTTTAAAGTAAGAAAAGAACAGATATGTACATGCCCAAGTACTTCTTTGTACAGAAGGCCATGTACCGCTGATGTTGAAAAACAATGTCTATTGATTCATGCCTACATGCATGAATGGAAAGTGGGTGGAGTGAAGCTGTAATTATTCTTGCATATTGAGTCATTTTAAAGAGACATAAACCAAAACCTGATTAGTGGGCCTTAGGAAGAACCTTTTCCTTTGGGCTTCCTCTAGAGTGGCTGGTATTAACCGCTGCCTGTGACAAAGGAGGCACTGCTAATTTGATTCAATATGGCAAATTCCTGTGTTTCTAGATATATCTGAATAAGGGAAACTTTTGAAATAATTTACTAGGGATTGACCAAGAAATAGACTGTTAGTATTAACCAGGAGTCCTGTGGCACATTAAAGGCTAAGTGTATGTCTACACTAGCCGTGGGTATGTCTACACTAGCCACCCTAGTTTGAACTAGGGTGGCTAATGTAGCCAATCGAACTTACAAATGAAGCCCGAGATTTAAATATCCCAGACTTCATTTGCATGTTCCCAGGTGCCGCCATTTTTAAATGCCTGGTAGTTCAAACTCCCTGCCCGCGTCTACACGCAGCACAGGCTAGGTAGTTCAAACTAAAGCCCCTAATTCGGACTACCGTTACTCCTTCTGCAATGAGGAGTAATGGTAGTCCGAATTAGGGGCTTTAGTTCTAACTGCCTTGCCCGTGCCGTGTGTAGCCGCGGGCAGGGAGTTTGAACTACCAGGCATTTAAAAATGGCGGCACTCGGGAACATGCAAATAAAGCCCGGGATATTTTAATCCCGGGCTTCATTTGCAAGTTTGAATGACTACATTAGTCACCCTAGTTGGAACTAGGATGGCTAGTGTAGACCTACCCTAACAGATTCATTTGGCCATAAGCTTTCATGAGCAGAACCCCATTGAATCAAATGCAAGATGCTGGAACTCCTTATTGTTTTTGCATATACAGACTAACAAGGCTACTCCTCCAATACAGTTAATATTTTGTTCTTTTCTCCTTTCTTCCCATTGCAGTTTGCATGAGTAATTTTGTTGCTGATGTTGTGTTCATAGTAGATGAGGGGGTTTCAATACCACAATCTGAAGATATTAAACAATTCCTGCAAAATGCAATTGACTCTCTTGATGTGCAGAAGGATTGTGTACAGATTGGCCTAGTGACATACAGCAGCAAGCCACGTTTGTTATCTCTACTGAGTGAAGAAATGAGCAAAACTGCCATTTTGGAGAAAATAAAAGGCTTTTCTCCAAGGGAAGGGAAGGCCAATATCGGTGCTGCCATTAATGCTACAAGGAAAGACGTCTTCAGTGTAAGATTTGGAAGTAGAAAGGCCCAAAGGATAGAGCAAATAGCCATTCTGATCACCCACAGACCTTCTGAAGACAACGTAAGTGAGGCAGCTCTTGGTCTTCGGAAAGCAGGTGTGACCGTATTCACCGTAGGCGTTGAAAATGCTGATGACACCCAGTTAACCCAGATAGCATCTCATCCTCCACAGCTATATGTTACTAAGCTGATGGCATTTTCTGACCTACCAGGACAAGCCGAAACTTTACAAAAGAAACTCCTGAATCAAATTCAATACAAGATGTTTGTCCAGACTGAAAGAAGACAACTACTTAAAGCAGGTAAACCTTTCCCACAATTCTATTTCTGTCTTTTCTGTGTGGAAGATTTTAAAGTAGAGATGGTCCTGAACCAAAACCTTGATTCAAAATCCCTTGACTGTATCTATTTCTGAACATCAGCCTTTTGGGGAAGTGCAGTTCTGGAGATGAAACTGGATCCAAACTGTATTAGAGAGCCCTCTTTAACATATTGACTGGTTCATGGTATTTTACTGAACTAATGCAAAGATCTGGCATCCCACTCTTCTAGTAGAGCTATTTGTGTCTTTATGGAGTCTTCTTGGTGTCAGTGAGATTCTGCATAGGTATCAAAGAGGGTTCATGATAACAGAGCCCAGTGTAGGATTGGTGCCTAAATTATTTTATTTTCATTGGTAAGCAAGGCAGGCTGTTATTTTAAAAAAACCTGTTTAACTGGCATCATTAATGGTGCACAGATGTGCAGGATATATTGGTGCTTTAGCTTTGGCATCCAAAAATTATTTTAAAGTGGAAGACTCCAAAGCCAAATCACCCTTTTCCAGAATACAGAAATCAAACTTTCATTTCTGGCAATAAAATATTCGGCAACTACTAATTTTAATTCTATTGAAAGCTGGATGACTCTTATCGACCTTATTTAAAGTGCTTTTTAAAAGCTCTGATATTTAAAAATGTCTAATTCCAATTCAGGAATAAATTCTTACTTGCCACCTGAATAAGCACAGTACAGAGTGAAGTTTTTTGGTGGAGATCAAAGTCTGGGAAGTTGGATTAGGTGGAACAATGTGATAGAGATTTTTGGAGAGTTTGGATTTTAAAATTCTGCTTTGAGAATAAACTTTGTTTTTTGAGTTCCACTTGTACATTTTTTGCTAGTGGTTATTTCTATATGTGACATAAGCAAAAAAAAAACATTTCTGAACTCAAGAAATGCTTGTGCAGTGTGTTCGTTCATATTGTTTCAGAGTCTGTGTCTACCCTTACTTTTAAACAGCATTAACTACGTGGAGGTAAAATGGACGGTCCGAGAATGTGGCCAGCCCCAGAGAGGTGCAGAAACAGGCAGCCTTGTACTAAATATCTTTTAACTTTTATTAAAATGCTTTTAACTATAACTTTTTATTTATCAGCTTTTTACATGTGTGGGTGCCAGATAGCTATTAACAGTAACAATAAACAAACTGCAATACAATAGAGGAAAATACCTTGAGGTTTTTCCAAGTCCCAATAATTATCAACAACACCCCAGGGATTTTTATCAGTTATATTTACATTAATTTCACTCATGAGGTTTAACATCTATTTAAACTCGTAACTGTACTATTTAACAAACTTCTAACTAACTTACTCTTAACACTATTATTTATCAAACCTTTAACTAACTTTACACAGCAATACTCACACTTATCAGACATACAAGGGACAACAGAGACAACAGCATATTCGTTATTCGTTACACTCTGCGGAAGATTCGGTTGATTCGGTGAGCGGGAGGGGGTCCTCGGGTGATCAGCCCTCAGAATCTGGCTCGTGTTCTGCCTTCCAAATTTTCGGGAACCCTCAACTGGATGCGGAGGGGTAGCGGCTTTATAGAGAGAGCAAGAGCTTTCCCGCGCTTAGTTGTGATGGGCTTAACAGATTGTATCTGCCTAGTGACAGGCTGAGGGGGAAGGGGAGGGGCTGAGATGACCCTTGACTGGTGCGAACTTTGTATGACCCTTACCTGCCTGGTGTCTTACTCCTGGTTTTTACTGATCTTAAGTCACATAGTGCAGGATTTTTGGTTTGAGGGGAAGGTAATCTTGGGCTAGGAAGGCTATGCGCACGAGGCCTGGCCAGAACTAGCAATAACCAAGGCCAGGTTCAATGTCGAAGGCTACATCTACATGGCAGGCTTTTTGTGCAAGAACAACCGTTCTTGCGCAAAAACTTGCCGGCTGTCTACGCTACACGTGCGTTCTTGCACAAATAAATTTACAGTACAGCATCAGAAAACAGGGTTTCTTCTGGAAGAGTTATTCCTCTACCCATGAGGAATAAGCCCTCTTGCACAAGAGCTCTTCCACAAGAAGGCAGTGTAGACAGGCAACATGAATTTCTTGTGCAAGAAACCCCTATAGCTAAAATGGCCATCAGAGCTTTCTTGCGCAAGAGAGCGTCCACACTGCCATGGATGCTCTTGCGCAAAAGCACATGGCAGTGTGGACGTGCTCTTGTGGACTTTTTGCACAAGAACTCTTCCGCGAAACAGTTCTTGTGCAAGAAGCCTGCAGTGTAGACGTAGCCCAAGGGTTTTCAACATAATGACATAGAACCAGCTCAATTCCCAGTCCAATTACCTGGGGAAATTACAGACCACCACTGGGTGCCTCTGTGAGGTAACACTTCCACACTCAAACACAGAGCTTGAGTATAGAAAAGAAACCTGTAATCAAAGGAAGGAAAATGCTGCAAGAAGGATTCATAAAGGTAAAACTGTGAGACAGACACCTACCCCGTAGGGATTGGGACAGTGTGATCTTTGACATGCTCTACAAGCAAAATTTCCTTTATTGTGTCCCTTTCTGCTCCCTCACCAAATGCCACTCTCAATAGTTGTTGTCAGTCACCAAGGACCCAGGATTCAGAGGTGCATCTTGTGAGTTCACCTTCCATTTGGGGAAGAAGGCATGTGGCTTACTCTGCCATCTGAGCACTCTCTCTGCCTGGCCACCGTGCCAGCCAATATGCCTCACACCTGGCTGTCATATCAGCCACTGTATCTGACTGCCTTGCCAGCCTCTGTTCTGCTTGCTGGTCACCTTCTACCACCTACCTCTCTGCTGTGACCTTTGCAGGTCAGTCCCTTGAGATTTCCCAGTGATATTGTCCCATCACAAGTGTTTTTAGCTCTAGTAAGCACTTAATAATAATAAACTCCTTAGAATGGAGCCTATTTAGCTGTCTTTGAAGATTGGGGAGAAAGAGATTAAACCAGACTGGAGACTCACTCTCAGAGATGCTAGATAAGGGTGGGTTCAGGAGGTATACTCCCTACTCCAACTAGACGCCATAGAGCTGGTCCCTCCTCAGACCAGCAGAAAGAGATTTTACTTGAGGTCTTTCCTTCTTCCCAAATGGAGGTTGGAGACTCATTCTGGATCACCGACAATTGAATAGCTTCACTTGGAGATCAAGATTCAGTCCTATCGCACAACCCTGCTGCCACATGCCAAGCAACCCTGCTGGGGCATGTTGGACTCTGGCTCAAATGCACAGCCCTGCTGGGGTACTTCCCTGAGCCTAGCTGCGGGGAGCCAGGCTCCTGGCCCTGATGGCAGCACATTGCCAGCAGCCCACAGCTCTGCAAGTCCATAGAGCTCATAGGCATCAGCCCTCCATCAGGACTCTTTGGTCCTGCAACATTCATGGTCCTGCTGGACCATCGAAGTTGCTGTCAAAGAGTACTGATTTACAGGGGTTCAACCAGCTTTATTTATTTCACACTGTGGAGCACAGCTGTTTATGTAAATACAGATAAAATATGTCATAGAATAACTTCAGAAAACCCACTGCTTGGAGAATCACAAGTACTTGTAAGATTAAGTTTTTATTTTGGACTACTCGTAAAGCTCTGATTTTCAAACACCTAACTGCTAATTTTAACAAATACCGCTTAACATATACATTCCTTTCTGTTCTAATTGCAGTGTTTGATAATGATATAAACTCTGGCCTTCTGTTTAATTTGTTAAATAGTTTTAAATGAATTTATTTCAATATTAATGTGCTGAATTTGTCATCACATGCACAGCAACTCACCAGGAAAAGTTTCAATAGGTAGAGAGCCACATGCTTTATTGTCCCATGCATGCTATAGATTTTATGGAAGCAACGTTGGACTTGATTATAGACAAGGCATTCTTCCCCAAAGCAGATTCCAAACTGAGGGGCTTTATCACTCATCTTCAACTGAGCCCTCAGACAATAGTATGATGCTGCCTAGTCCTCCTAGTCCATGAGGATTCCTGCATCTGTGACCCCCTTTGCAAGGATGTATCTCTGGTGTCTGCAGGTTTGGTTGTGGACATTGGTTATATTTCAAGTAAGCCCAGCCTGGACTAGCAAGTTCTACTTCCCCGCAGTGTTTTGTCATCAGTCACGTGGTAGAGAAACTGGCTGTGTGCCTTCATCCACTCTCCACCTGTGATGCCTCTGTAAGAGGCTGGGGAGCTCACTTGGACTAATATGTGACTCAAAGCTCTTGAACCCAGTAAAATCCAAGCTACATATTAACCGCCTAACACTGGGCAGTACATGAAGCCTGCAGAAGATTCCTGCCACTCATTCATACCCTGCATGTTCAAGTCATGTCTAGCATGATTACAGTATACAATAACAAACAGCAAGAATGGGGAGGTCCACCCTCCTTTGCATAGAAACAGTTGGTCTCTGCAGTTCATAGAATCATAGGGCTCAAACAGACCTCTGGAGGTCATCAAGTCCAGCCCAAGGCAGGACTATTCCCAACTAAAACAACCCAACCAGGGCTTTGTCAAGCCAAAACTTAAAAACCTCTAGGATGTGTCTACACTGGGCCACTTATTCCGGAAAATCAGCCGCTTTTCCGGAATAAGCTGCGAGCTGTCTACACTGGCCCTTGAATTTCCGGAAAAGCAACGATGCTCTACGGAAAAGCAACAACGCTCTACTGTACAAAATCAGTCGCTATTCCGGAAAAGCTATTCTGCTCCCACTCGGGCATAAGTCCTTATTCCAGAACACTGTTCCGGAAAAGGGCCAGTGTAGACAGTCCAGTAGACTTTTCTGGAAAAAAGCCCCGATCGCGAAAATGATGATCGGGGCTCTTTTCCGGAAAAGCGCGTCTACATTGGCCACAGATGCTTTTCCAGAAAAAGGGCTTTTCCGGAAAAGCATCTGTGGCCAATGTAGATGCTCTTTTCCGGAAATACTTATAATGAAAACTATTCTGTTTTAAGCATTTCCGGAAATTCATGCCAGTGTAGACGTAGCCCTAGGGATGGAGATTCCACCATCTCCCTATGTAACCCATTCCAGTTCTTCACCACCCTGCCAGTGAAATGGATGTTAGGAAAAACTAACCTAGACCTCCCCCACTGTAACTTGAGACCATTGCTCCTTGTTTTTACACCTGTTAATACTGAGAATAGTCTCTCTCCATCCTCTTTGGAACCTCCCTTCTGGAAGTTGAAGGCTGCTATCAAATCCCCCCTCACTCTTCTCTTCTGCAGACTGACTAAGCCCAGATTCCCCCAGTCTCTCTTTATGGGTCATGTGCTCCAGCCCCCTAATCATTTTGGTTGCCCTCCACTGGACCCTCTTCCATGCACCCACATCCTTTCTGTAGTGGGGGGACCCAGAACTGGACATACTACTCCAGATGTGGTCTCACCAGAGCCAATTAAAAGGGAATAATCACTTCTCTAGATCTGCTGGCAATGCTCCTCCTAATGCAACCTAATATTCCATTTGCCTTCTTGGCTACAAGGGCACACCGCTGACTCATATCCAGCTTCTCATCCACTGTAATCCCCAGGTCCTTTTCTGCCAAACTGCTACTTAGCCATTTGGTCTCCAGCCTGTAACAGTGCTTGGGATTCTTCCATCCCAAGTGCAGGACTCTACATTTGTCCTTTTTGAACCTCATCGGATTTCTTTTGGCCCAGTCCTCTAATCTGTCCAGGTCACTCTGGACCCTATCCCTGCCATCCAACATATCTACCTCTCCCCCTAACTTAGTGTCATCTGCGAACTTGCTAAGGGTACGTCTAGACTACATGCCTCTGTCGCCAGAGGCATGTAGATTAGGCTACCCGACATAGTAAAATGAAGCGGCGATTTAAATAATCGCCGCTTCATTTAAATTTACATGGCTGCCGTGCTGAGCCGACAAACAGCTGATCAGATGTTTGTCGGCTCAGCGCGATAGTCTGGACACGCAGGTGTTGACATCA